AAATGTTTTAAGCATACCAATTAAACATCAACTCAAATTGAAGCAAAGATATATTTATCAATTAGCTAAAATTTGTAATTTGATTTCTCTTGTAAAATTTCTTGATGTCTAGTAGAGCACAGTTGCATTTTCTCTGGCTTTATTTTGGATTCCAGACCTTTGCAGGCAGCATCATGCTGATAACATAGTGCTAGCCTTGGGGCTCTTAAAGCCAGGAGTGTTTTTTCTCACTATTTTGCTTTATGTTCTTCACAGCTTTCATAGCTGTTTTCATTCCATTACTTATTTTCTCATTTCAGTTCTTTCCAAGGTGAGTGCAAGCCCTGCTAGACCTTCTCTGAGTCCAACCATGGCACTGGGCCTGTGACACCCCCCTCTCCCCAGTTTCCTTGCACTAAAGGCAACCACTTGTCCTCATGCCTTTTCCCCCACCTCCTCTGCACTTGTGATCTTAGCAGCTCAGCCTCCTCAAGAGGGGAAGCACTGGGGTTTGCCTGTAATGATGTTACATTTTCTGAGAGAGGCAAGTCTGCCCTGTGAAAGAGCAGATTTGGCAAGCAGTTGTTCTAAACCGAAACTAAATAGCTCTCACCAGAGGCTGGTTGCCTTGGAGCAGAAGCTTGAGTGGCTCCTAGGCTCAGTTGTTTGGGCCAAAAAACAGGGCATCCAAGTCTCCATGTTGTCAAAGTCTATAACTTTTCTGTTTGATTGAGCTGTCTGGATATTATTATTGACATGCTCCCTAAGTTCTATATCTAAAGCTCTTGTTTGTGAAAAACAACAATTATATTTAAAACTATCTTTGCAGCATTTATTTCAATACTGCAGACCGGCTTGGGCCGAAAGTGATTTTCCTATGTTTTAGTCCCAGCTGACCACCTTTACTACCTTCTCTCACCTGAACCACTTACCTTATTTTTCTCGGTTTTGCTTCTTGTTTGGACTTCCTTATCTTGATGTGAGGTGCACTGTGTTGTCGATTCTTTTTTTCTCTTTTTCTTTTTTCCTCTTCATTCTGAGTAGCCTCACTGAGCAGGTGATGGCTCGTGATTCAAGCCCCCACGATGGGTGCCAATTACGGGAGACCCCTGCAGTTAGGTTCCAGTCCCCTGTCCAGTGTACAACACAGGCCTGAGAAGAAAATACACTAAGAGACAGAACTAAGAGAGAGAAAGTGGGGTGCCAGGATGACAAATACTGGTGTAACAGACAAAGTCCCTGGCCAGTCCCAGACACTTTTATTGGCAAGGTATGTGCAGTTTCTATGGAGATTAATGTAAACAAGATGCATAAAGGACAAGACAAAGCATTCTCGAATTAGGAACAGAATAGACAAAATATATGGTTGTAATTAGAACATTGTCCTTCTAGTCAGGTGGTTTTAGTTGTGGGAATGGAATTTGGGTGGGAGCTACTCTGACCCTGGCACGTAGGCTTTGGCCAGACTCACTTCTCAAAACAAGCCAATTGTGAGGTTAACTCTTCACAGCCTGCTTTGGGTATAATTAATATTACAGTCCTCTGCACTGCTGTCCTTCCTCGTGGACACAATCATTCACCTGCTAAGTCCAGCCACACCCACGTGGGGGATGGGGGCCCTGTAATGTGCTATGGGTGATGATGTCCTCAGAACTGTGGGAGGCTGTCCAGGTGCTGACCAGGGCATGGAAGCTGGGGGTGGACACAGGGACAACTGGGCCTTCAAGGTAGAGGAAGCAAAACTCATTTATTGATACCCAGAGAATGTGAAGGCTCGCTAGGACGGAGGAGCACGGAGCTGCACGATGGTCCCCGAAGGCGGGGAACTGCCAGCCTTGTAGTGACCTGTGCTGGTGGCATTGTGCAAGGGCATGTTGTCGTCTAGACCTTTGGTAGTCACCTCTGCACCTGCAGTCAGCAGCTGCTTGGCGCGTCTCACTTAGCGGCCTCGCAAAGAGCTTCTGGATGCGCCGGGCACCTCCTGGAACCGCACGGGGCAGGCAGGTCTGACTCACGGCAGACTGGGAGAGGTGCTTTCCTGGTGTCATCTGCATGAGGACGCCATCTGCTGGCGGCTGTGTACCCCAGGGCGGGAAGCAGCGCTCCGGCCTGTGGCGAGCTCTGTCTGTGGGAAGCGAGCCCGCCCTAGGCTCCTAGGGTCGCACCGGCTCTCTGCGGGCTGCGCGCCCGCGGGCGCTGACCGTCCTCTCTGGGCGTCCGGACTAAAAATGCCGGGTTTCCAAACAATTCTGAGAGTTGAGTACTCTCACTGAGTCACTGCCCCACTATATACAAGAGGAAGCTGATGCTCAGACTGCATGCATCCATGGTGTGTGTGTGTGTGTGTGTGTGTGTGTGTGTGTGTGTGTGTGTGTGTGTGT